TGAATTATTTTAAGCCATCACAAAGGCGAGGCTATTCTTCCTGCTAAACTTCTCAGAAGACACTTTGTTATTCAAAAGAATTACTTATTATTGAAGCTCTCCTAAAACGCATTGTGATTGTTTGAGTTCAAAGTCCTCTGCAAGTAGAATCTGCACAAAAGAGGAAAAACTTTAGTACTTGCAAAATGAAATATAGCTTTAACACAGAGATAAAAATGACAACATGAGCTATCAAATCGTTCACTTTCTAGATTCACAATCTTTTTTTTTTTACTGTGAACCTTTGAACCTGCTCACTTAGGATGATATTGAATCTAATTGTAATCTAATTGTATGGATGCCACATACAGCTGCTATCTGTCTGTACAATGCTGAGGCGAGATAGCACTATTAAATCAAGGGTTCTCCTGTCAGATTTCTTTTATACACAGTTTTTGATCGTTTTAAAATTAAAAAAATAAAATAAAATAGAATAGAATAAATAAAATGTATACAAACCAGTATGTTTTACACAGTAGTCTTTTTCAAATAAATCGACAAATGTCTAAGGCTGCATCGTACCACATGTGTGAATAAAAATTGTGGACATTTCCTTATTAATTTAAACAAACATAACAGAGACAGCAAGGAAATGTGTCTTTGGTTGATTGTTTCTTTGTTGTAACGACACTTCCTGGCAATAAATCTTATACTACTGGAAACTCTGTTTATCTCCCTTTAAATGGTGCCAGAAAACTGCATTTGTGGGTCGAGCAGCAGACTTGAGCATCTGGGTTGTGGCCATGAAAAACTTGCCAAATCTTGCCAAACAGCATATTCTCCTACTGATTCCTGTTTGGTGTCGTTTATTGGATTGGATGATTGAAGTCTGAAGAAATAGAACATATTGGCAATTTAACACTTTATTCATTTAACAAACAGGGGCCTCAACATCATGTTAAGGCCAATAGTATAAGACCACCGGTCATGCTGGTCACCAGCTTGGTAACACACACTGCTGTGGGATGGGTTCCCATTTGTCAACCAGCATTTGTAATAAGTCAGCCAGTGTGGTTGTATTGGTCACGGAAGATTCTCAGAGCTGATATACTAAACTTGCTGCTCTGAAGTCAAATACAAAAACATGGAAACACCGTTTAGATCACTGCACTAGAGGTTTGCTGCTGACAGCACTCATGGCACAGGTGTAACTGCACAGCATATAATAAGACAGAGAGTGCTCGAATGTCCTCTGCTCTGAATAAACCCTGAACACTGTTGGCAGCAACTCCAAAGCATGGCATAATGACACAACCAGCTTCATTGCCTTTAGGGCAATCAATTCTCTCAGTGCAAGCAAAGGTAACAAGCAATCTGCAGCCTTATCTATAAAGTACACAGCGCTCGAACTAAAAAAGTCTGTTTTAAATTATCATTTTTAAAGAGAAATTTTGACCCTCCAACCACCGTTAAATACTTACAGTCTTTATCTCATCTACTTTATGTCTAGAGAGAATGTGTTTTTTTTTAATTGCAGTTTCTGTTTTGCATTTCACTGGCGAGTGAAACCATGTTGTGACAGACACCAGCACAATGGTGCAGACCAGTGTAGCAATCGTAAAAAGTTGAGTGGATTTACCAGTCTTCACATTTCCTCATTCACGAGGTTTATCGTTGTTTCAGGTTGGTGGCTATAAATAAACCAGCCAACTAGTCTTACATTGTTGTGTTTGCCCAAAAGCTAATAAACAAAGAAGCAAAATTTTCTCTTCTCGGATGTTAAGCTTTCAGGCTTAATGCATGCCTTTCAACACCTAATGACAAATTATGTTGAGGAATGCTTGGCTGCTGCAAGCAATGCATTGTTTGAAAATACCATATGTGTTTTATAAGAGCTGTCAGACATGATAGATCTGGGGCTTTCTTCCAAAAGAAGCCAGTTTCCATAACCTACGAGGTTCATAGTGCATTTTAGGACACTTTTGACCACATGCTTCACCTAATATGCTGTCACCTATCGACAAGATAAACAGTTGTGAGACATATTGTTGACATATCTGTTACTGGTAGAAAAATGAACACCATCACATCTCAGTTTCCAGGGAATATGATATGATAATGTCATGTTTTTGATGAATAGAATACCAAGGAAAGAGGAACTTCAGTTAAGGAAATAATACATCCGTCTATGCTGTCATATTGTAATTTTAGTCTCAGTGGTTTTGATGACTTTAACTGCCTTTACGATATTTAAAATACTAATTATTTCAAAATGTTAATACATTCGTTAACATTCATTAATATACAAATTATTGACTTTGTCAACAGGACTGCTACATACTGAGAGCTCACATTAGTCGAGTTAAGGATATATGGGTTTTATATTTGCAGGGTACATAAGCCCATGCCCCAACTTAAAGTTTAACAGCTAATCGAATCAAAATATTTCATGCACTGAAAAATCAACCCATAGTTTAAAAAAAAAAAATTAAATAAATAAATCTTTAGAAATAAAATATCTGAATAGCTATGTAATTGCCAGCCTATCCAGATGAACTCTGGCGCAAAGGTGAACTTGTCATTTTGAAGTCTAAGGCCACGTGTCTCTCAGTTGTGTAACACATAACACACGGTGTGCAAATGTAAAGCGCTGGACCTGTTGAAACTTTGCCTGTGTTAAGCCAGCTGTTGCCCCATGCTACGGTCCCCACAGCTTCCTCTCTCACTGCGCATCAAAAGGCTCTGTGTTTGACAAAAAGGCCCATTCGAAACAGGAGTCAAGAACCCCATGAGATAAAACACACACCATGAAAAACATCCTCCCGCTGCACTGAAAAGGAAACTGTTTCTGTAGACAAAGCTCTGATTATTCGTTGCAGCTACATCCTACTACCCGTAAACAGTGCACACATACACTGATAAGATGCTCAGTTATCAGATAGACGTATGAATATTTACTGCCCTGTAAACGTGCTGCATGATTCTCTGTATCACGCAGGAGCAAGTAAACTGTGCTGAGTTTAAGTGTCTAGCTGCAGTGAGAAGAATTTCAGATTGTTTTTCTGTTTCTCTTCCTCCTTCCTTCTCATCAAAGTCATCACCTACTGGAATCTTTAGGATTTTACAAGGTGATGTAATCAGTGCTGTTCCCATATGATACATAAGCTATTAACTGATTTATAAGCTATTAACAGCGATGAATTACATTGCATGAGAATGCTTTAGCTCGAGAAGGCATTGTTAAAGTGTAGTGTAGTATTACTGTAAGTACTTATCTACAGACAGTAAACCTGTGGGTGTGTCTTTGTTTAGTTTACTGTAACTAAATATATGAGGGCAGTGGCAAAGAGAAACTGTTCTTTGTTGATTGAATTAAATGAATTAAAGCCTTAAAACTGATAGGAACCAGTGCTGGCTTCTACTGTAGTCTGCTGTAGTCATTTTACTTTAATTTTAGTGTTCAGTGTAACCTCCTTCTGTGTTCCATCAGGAAGGATATCTCTGTGTAAAACTCTGCCAAATTAAATAAGCAGAGAAGATGAAAGCATTTTTAAAAAATAATTTCAATGCTCACTGTCTTAAATATACATATATGTAAACATATATAGTCATAACTTGTAAAGATTTTTATATTTTTGCTGACATTACCCCAAAATAATTTGTTTAAAATCTTTTTTCCCCGCTTCCTGGACTTTCTTGTACTTCTACCACCATCTTTGCTTTTCGCTGCTTCACATCTCTCGTAGTTTCTCATTTTTTGAGTGCTGCGCCCCTCTCTCTTACAGTAACCCTGCTGCAGCTTCATGAGATGCCTTACATTTGAACTATTTTAGCAAGTTCTGGAAAGAAGTGTGGATAGATAAATCATTTTATTACAATTTTTAAACAAGTGTCTCTAGAGTGTGCAGCAGATTGCACTGCCTTGCCGTGAGTTTGCTTTAAAGAATAGGGAAAAAAGAAACATGACCTCATACTCTAAAAGTAATGCGACAATAACATAATTATAGCTCGTAATGCTGAATGACTATGTGGTGATATTTGTTATTGCATTACTGGTATTTGTGGTATAAATGACTGGCTACAAGGTGACCAACCTTATGGTTGAAAAAGACCATGGGTGGGGATTTAGTTGAAGAATGAGTTTATGTACACATTGAATAGGTGAGCAGAGAAGAATAAGTCTTAAATAAATTATCCTTCAGTTTTAGTTTATGTGTTGGATTTTTACTCCATCACTCCATTCTAAATATTTGCATCCTGTGCTTACTGTTATTTGAATGTTTAACTTTCTGTATTACTTCTGCTAAAATGACATCATGATCTGACCTGTTCTCAGGAATGTATCTCTAATCTTTGTTATGGTAACAAGTTTGCTGTACGTCAGTAGCTGTGATTCACAGAGCAGGTTTACTCACTGTTATTAGCTCATTTTGACCATCAAATGTTAGGTGACACAGGCCTTGAGTGGCTTACCACGTCTCATTGGCTATTCCCACAGACTCCAGGTCCCTGGTCACATTTAAATTCATTAGTTATATCCATAGTCATTATTTCTGTTAAATACTTCCGAGATTATCTTTTTCTACATTTTCTACCTGACCCAAACACAAATACTGTGTTTGGGTCAGGTAGAGCGGCTCATGTTTAGACTGATCAGTCCCAAAGTAAAATGCAGTTATTTTTCATCAGCCTTCACATATCATATTCTTGAGTAAAAATGGATCATATTTTAACCCTGGAGAACCCATGGGGTCAAATATGACCCCATGGGTTCTCCAGGGTTAAGACTTTATATGCAGGCGACAGCAAAACCCACGTTAGGCCTTGGTTACAGGCCTTCATGTACTTAGCTGCATAAAGCTGATTTACAACTCTGTCTAGTGTACCTCTGCTGACACCTGGTGGCAATTATGAGTTACTACAAACGGCCTGATATTGAATTTACCGCGTAACGTATCCTAATGGAACAGCATCACATGAATAATTTTGTAAAACCTGTGTGGACTTTATTTGACTATATTTCATATCGTTTAAATACTTTGACGTTAATAGTAAAATGACAGTTTCGACAGAAACTTTGCTAAAGGGATGACTGCCCCTTTAAGAGCGGCGACCAGCTGCTCAGCGCCCAATCGCGGCGCGTAAACTGAACTTTGTTGTTGTCAGCAACTAAGAGCTAACTGTTAGCTAGCGTTAGCCGGACACCGAGCTAAAGAGGCGATATCTTGCACCCCATTCGTCCCAATAACGGAGGAAAGCACGGTAACATTTAGCTTGGACAGCTACGAACGTAAACAAGTCGCTTCCATCAGGATTTCGCCTCCGATATCAACAAAAATGACATCTGCGCTGGTGAGTTTAACTTGCTGCTTGAGCCACTGAGATGAAGTTCGTTTCTTATTTGTGGTTTCCACAATGTGGCTTATTGGTTAAGAGTTAAAGGTCGATATATCTGTAGATTTATTACAATACATCATATATTTTTTTATTTGATATGGACCCCTTTCTTTTTGCTGCTTGTTTTAGCTTTATTTAGAGCGAGAGCAGATTATAAATCAGGGTAATTTTACTCTTAGTCTGGATTAAATGTCTGTGAAGTCGTAGCAAAGTGACTCATTACTCAGTCTGCTGAGTGTCCAATGTAATATATACATTTATACTAATGTAACAACCGCCCTGTGCAGTCATGACAGCCACATATGTTATGTAAATGATACATTTGTGAAAGTTTAATGGTATCGTTTCACTCATTTGTCATGATCTAAATTGCCTTTGCAGATTAAATGCATCATTTTGCCGACAAAGTGACTAACAAGCAATTAATATGCCAACAATCTGATATTCTGTGTACGGTAATTACAGTATATTGAAGTTATAAGAAAAAGAAAAAACGATAGAGTAATTTATGCCACCATACACTCACCGTCCACTTTATTAGGTGCACCTCGCAAGTGCTGGGTTGAGCAGCCTTTTTGCCTTGAGACCTGCCTTAATTCTTTATGTGAAGCTGCGGTTTTGGTCCATATTGACATGATCGCTTCAGGCAGTTGCTGCAGACTTTTCGGCTGCACATCCATGATGAGAATCTCGTGCTCCACCACATCCCAAAGGTGCTCTTTTCGATTAAGATCTGAGTATGCCTATGTGCTTCAAGGTTCAACAAGTTGTGCATTCAGAGATGCTTGTAACCAGTGACAAACAAAGAAGAAAACAAGCTTATTTTAAGTTTGCATAAACTAAACCTCATTTTCAAGAAAGGTTGGTCAAAACCTCTCTTTGATGAACTCCAAGAGTAACTCATAAGACACTATGACAATATATATTCTGTGCAATACAGTCATGCACCATACACCACAGTATCTGGTAACTGAAGGGAAAAAATATACTCTTTAAAAGTCTTTCCCGTTCTTTCCTTGTGAGGTTGTTATTGTTAATATGAAGTAAGATAACTCACTTTATAATTTTCTTAAAAAGTAGTGAAGTGTGCCAGACTAGCAGGGAACTCCTACATCTTTTGATATACAATATTTGCTGCCAGTGAATGGATCACACGTGGAACCAAAATGATAGATTTCAGTATCAGTATTTGCCCCCACTCCTAATTTGTAGCAGGTTATTAATGACATTTAACTTAATTCAAGTAACGATCCTGTTAGTCGTACAACTTAAAATCCCAAATAAAAAGTAAATGTGGGTTTACATAATATAATATAAAGATGCATTTAAGAAAACAGCATTAAATGAGGCATGATTACAGGGAATATCGCTAATAAGAGTCAGTTTTCTATTAAAAAATACAAATCAGCAAGAATATTTTCTTTATTTACATATAGATGTTTGTAAAAAAAAAAGTGCAGTTTAGAAAAAAAAATAGTACAGAATTCTACTAAAAGCAAGTGACTCAAATATGATCTATAACTGTTTCTACTTTCTGTCTTTCTGCCATTTCAAAATCTCAACACTCGACACCATATTTGTCAAAGTGTCTCGTGATGATGCCCAGCTCCAGCTCCACAGTCCCCATGGCTTCGGTGTGCAGTCTGTATCTGTCCGCCCCGCTGTAGATCAGGTCAGGGCTGAGGAGCTGGGGACCTCCGCCGACGAACATTTGCGCCAGCCGTTCTTGCCAGGAGCCCACGGGCCTCCAGGTCGCACAGCTTATTCGGTGATGTCCCGGACTAGAAGGGACGTGGCAGAAACCATAACCATAGAGTTGGCACCGTCCGAAAGAATCTTGATGCCACACCTCTAGGTGAATCTTCGGCCAGCCTTGCAGCCCTTTGGTCGCGTAGTGCAGATCGATCGGGTGGCTCCAGTACGCTATGTCTCCGATTTGGGGGCTATCCACCTGGGTCTGACCCTCCTTCAGCCCGGATAAAAGCCGCCATGCTTCTCCCGTATGAATTCCCCATTTGCAAAACAAAGTCTTTTCCGGGAAACCACTTGCACCAATGATCTGCCCTATAATGTGCAGCTCTGCCATGCCACACTGGTTCACTTTGACAAGAAAATGTGGCACGGAAAGTCCTGTTTTGTCTCTCCGATGTTAACGGCTAGCTTAGCGGCTAGCTAAACTAACGGCTAAACGTCTCCTTGGTAACCGCCTACCGTGATTTTCGACAAATCCCCTGAGTTAGACCTCGCAGGCACCACTTCCGGTACGAATGCCGTCCAACATTATGAAAACCCTAAGCTTCACCTTTATAAAATTGTTTGTCATTAGTGAATAATTAATTTTCACCAATTATAATATTGCCAGAATTATTCCTGAGCTATAATAAACGTGTGTGGTGAAAACGCGGTTGTGTCACGAATTTGGAACTACACCCTTACAGGTTTAACTCAGAGTTAAATTTGTCCTAGTGGGCCGAGTTGTTTCTGTCTTTCATGCATTGTTTACAAAAGTCCGTTCGTCGAAGACATAAAACACCTCTTCATATTAATACTTTTTAATTAACTCGTGACGAAGAATTGACTTTATTGCTCAATTTCTCTGAAGTTTAATCGGCGTTTGGAGTCTGTGAACAATTACACTGTGAAACAGCGCCAGTACGCGGCTGTACTGCGCTCACTACTACACTGAAAAAACAGTCTTATACTCCGTGGAGGACCTTTTACAGTATATAAAAGGTTTATGTATACAGTATTTTATTTTATATTTTAAATGAGAAATACAAATGATATTTTATGAAAAACCCAAGGTTGGGAGTAGTGTGAAATGTGACTGCACATTTGTAAAAAGAGGTATTGAACTTTGGAATAGTTGTTTAGGCATAATTAGTTTTAACTTTAGCCTAAACATATTCGACACATTGTCATATAAATGAACCAGATATGAAGAAATTAAATAAATTTAAACTTGCTACTTTTAGATCACATTGTACTCCTAGGAACATTTTATTTCATTTATTTGAAAACTTTCTTGAGTGGTAATTTGCCTTTACCACTTACAGAATATAGTTTTAGTTGCATTTCTGTACAAAATTGTTACATATAATTTTTGTTTTTATCTAGCTGATATACAAGTTAGTGTATTTCTCGCAAGGATCTTGCTGGCATTAGTGAAACGTTCTTTGAAATGGATTGAACATTGTTAGACTGAGATAGTGATTAAACTATGATATAGATATAACTCCCACTAGGTTTATATCTTGGACTCTCCACCATTTGACCTTAGAACTGAAGAAGCTTCTCGGATGAGAGGTGAAACGTCTTCAAGCAACTGAAAGAAGTCCAGACGCTTTTCTTTGCAAGCTCCTTTGACTACGATGACCTGGATGACTGAGAACCTTCACAGACATTAAACTATGAGAATGTAATCAAACTGTTTATCAAAGGGAAACTGTGATTTTTAAGACACTCAAGCCTAACACTGGCTGGTATAATGTTAGGTTGTAACCAGCTGTTCTTGTTTGGCTGGCTTGTTATTAACTGCCTTGAAATGCTAATGATAATAATAAGTAACTACAATGATATCTGGAATAAATAAGCATGTTTATGCACATTTTCACGTATTAGAGCGGTGACTTCCGTTCAGAAGATGAGGGTTGAGGTGAGGAGGGCTAGCATGACGTTTCAATGACCTCAATGACCCCAAAACGCATCAATTCGGTCACTTAATATGCTGAGCCTCAGAATGTGGTGTAACATCGGTTTGCATGCTTTTGTGTACATATTTGTCGACAGCTGTTTCTTGTAAAATCTTGTTGAAAACTTTCCCAGAATAGCAGAGGCAGCCATGGTAACATATTATTGGCCATGGGTTTTGCAATGAGATGTATCACACACAGTGGGTGCCTTTCACAGTAAACATTTTGACTAGCAGCACAAGTGTTACTACTAACATAAACACAGACTTGTTTCCATTCACGTGTCATACTAAGTCGTGACCGTGAACCTGTTCTAGGAGCCTAAAACCAAAACAGTGTATTTTTATTAATCTTTCTTTCTTTCTTTCTTTCTTTCTTTCTTTCTTTCTTTCTTTCTTTCTTTCTTTCTTTCTTTCTTTCTTTCTTTCTTTCTTTCTTTCTTTCTTTCTTTCTTTTTTTGTTTGGTGTGACATGTCTGAAAAATCAAAAGCTGAAAGAGCATTAATTGAGTGAACCCATACTTTACTTTGGTGTCATAGAAGTGCCTTGTGTATTATAAACCTTACGTGTGTAGTTGGGATGCTGTTAGCGATTTTATGGAGAGTTAGAAACTTACTCTGTGTTATTTTCCCACAGACTTAAGAGAGTAAAAAAAGAATAACTGCGCAAAATCAGAGGACCTCATTATTTTAGCTACAAATCATAACTATGGGGTTCTTTGCTCATGTTTCCAGGCCAGTTTTAGTCACATCATACACCCACATAGTCGTGATGAGGAAGAAATAGCACTTCTTCAGTGATAAGCTCTTAGTAAATAGTACCAAATTTTCTGTTTCCCAGATGTCTAACTTATTGCTTATTATTGTAGCTTTTGTAGTCATGAGGACATTTTAACATTTTGACATGACTCTCTGTTTGCTCCCATAGTCTGATCCAACCCTAGAAAGACATTTCAAGGGTCACAGGGACACCGTAACAAGTGTGGACTTCAGCTGCAACATGAAACAAATTGGTAATGATCTGTTTGCCTTCAGATGTAACTGTTTGCTGTTGCCTTTGTCTTTTCCTTTTTGGAAATACATGATGTTCTCACTCACACCTGTGCTTCATCCTCTCCTAGCCACAGGCTCCATGGATTCCTGTGTGATGATCTGGAACATGAAACCTCAGATGCGAGCGTATCGTTTTGATGGACACAAAGACGCCGTCCTTTCCGTCCACTTTTCCCCATCAGGCCATCTGGTGGCCTCTGCCTCCAGAGACAAGACTGTACGTCTTTGGGTGCCAAGCATGTAGGTGTTAAAGTAAAATCTTTCTGTCTTTTCTGTTCTTTATTCCACCACAGATTTACTACAGAGGACAATGATGGTGACTCATAAAGAGCAGCAACTACTGAATATTGTTTGTCTCCTTCTGCCAGCATGGAGGAAGACACACATTGCTGAACACCTTCTGGGTTTTGCTTGTTTGTTTTAAACTTAAGTAATGTCTTGTGTCCATACAGGAAGGCTGAGTCAACAGTATTCAGGGCTCACACTGCCACTGTGCGCAGTGTTAACTTTTCTGGTGACGGACAGACTCTGGTCACGGCCTCTGATGACAAGACAATTAAAGTGTGGACAACACACAGGCAAAAGTTCCTCTTCTCTCTCAACCAGCACATCAACTGGGTCCGCTGTGCCAAGTATGAGACACACATTTAACACGATACAATGCATCATATTAGGACATTTTGATAGATTTACACTTCAGGCATCACATTATGACCTTTGACAGATAAAGAGAATTACACTGATCATTTCCAAAATGCATCTTTTTTGGGCTGTTCCTGGTCAGTATCTAACAATAATAATCCAAAAAAAAGGAAGTTTCATCTTCCCCAGATCCCAATCCAATCCAATATCTGGTGGATGTACTGGACAATAAGTTCCATAAATGGCCTAACCTTGCATCTTACAAGAATTAAAGGTTCTGTTGCTAACATATTGGTGCCAGATACCATAGCACACCTTCAAAGGTGTGATGGAGTCCATGGCTCAATAGGCCTGGCCTGTTTTGGCAGCAAAAGGGGGGACCAACTCATTATTAAATCTATTTCCAATTATCTTTTGACCTGCCACCTTCATTGAATCGTTTGTCTGACTGCTTGAAAGAGGTCACAGAGTGGCTGTCTGCCAATTCTCTCATTTTAAATGAGAAGAAAACTGAGATTATGGTGTTTGATAGTCACCGACCTCCTCAGTCTCTATACTCCCGGCTGTTCTTTACGATCATCTGGTCAGTTACCTCTGGCCCAGCCCAGGCACCGTCTGAAGACTAGGGGTGATCGTGCCTTTGCCTCTGTAGCACCAAACCTCTGGAATAGTCTTCCTGCTACTGTTCATCCCTCTGACTCCATTCAATCTTTTAAAGCACACTTGAAAACGTACCTATTCGACCTGGCTTTTCCAACTCACTAATTCTCACTGCTCGTTAATTGCTCGCTACTCATTTCTCTGGATAATCATGATTTCTCTCTATCTCTACTTACTTGCTTTTGTTTGTTCTCTATTTTAGCTTGTTTTAATGACTTACAGTTCAGTGTAATCATTTACTGTTTATTCCTTACTGTGAAGCACTTTGATGTACCCCCTGGTTTTAAATGTGCTATATAAAAAAAATCGTATTGTATTGTATTGTATTAGGCAGGTGGTCATAATTTTATTCCTGATACCTGGTGTATAGCTGACCTATTCCATTACACCATGCATTTTTGAACATATTTTATACAGATTGAGCATTAATCATTTACATTTATTTTTTTATATTATTATTGCAGGTTTTCTCCAGACGATCGCTTGATTGTGTCATCCAGTGATGATAAGACCATAAAGCTGTGGGACAAAAACAGCAGAGAGTGCATTCATTCTTTCTATGAACATGCAGGGTGAGCACTTGCGAGCACCTGAATGATGAATAGGAGGAGCTAGGAGTATTTATTTATTTTTGTCAGTTTTCTGCTGGTGTTCTGGTAAGGTCAGAAAAAATCCTTACAAGTGTACTGATGCAACGGCAGTAAATGCTGGAAAAAATCTGACAGAATCAATCCCCTAACCATTTGTTATCCTGTTCAAATGTTTATGACGAAGGCACTGAACACCTGTTCAGTCATTACACATGTGCCCTATTCCCTTGTACATTGTGCAGTCTGTTATACTGAAACACTTTAATGAGACATTGGCTGTGTGAGTCTTTGATACATTTAATATCCTGTTTTACATCTTTCTTCTTACTTCTTTTTAACTTTATTGTGTTTTATTTAGAGTCTGACATACTGAGCTCCTTTCTTTTCTGTAGTTTTAGCTTATTGTGTTGAGATGATAATAAGATGAGCTACACTTTATCCCATATCGTTTCTTACAGCAGCTGAAACACTAGAGATAATAATACCATTAATGTAAAATGCCTCTCTTCCAAGTAAAAAGCATTGTTATAGAGGATGATGGCATGAGGTATAAAAGACTTCCTGTATCCTTGTGGCAGCAGAGTCTGTTAGAGAATAAACTTTATGCCTGCCTGTAGGAAGTGATGCAGAGGGTGGTCAGGATTAGCATCAACATCCTGTCCCACGATAGACTCAGGTCAACCACCATCTATCGTTTTTTTTCTCGACCTCTCAACAAAATCATCTGCTAGTGCTCCTCAGAGAATCCAATCATCAGAGTATTTCTATAGGTGTCATGACCCACAGTTGTACTGAAAGTCTAAGCAGTTTAAGGTGAACAGGAATGGAGACATCCCAATCACAGCTTAATTTATTTTGGTGCTGTATGCCACTGCATAAGATAAAAAAATGAAATTGGGGGAAAAAGGGTCCAGAGAAAGCTGTATATATTTTTTTAAGTTCCCAACATTTAGAATAAGAAATTTCACAAAAGCCTTCATGTGTCTTAAAGTGTTTTAAAATAGTTAACTTTCTCACTATAAATCTTAAATCATTAACCCTTTCCACCAATGACTAAAGCTTTTGTGTTGTTTGAATTGACCTTCTGGGTTATTCCAGGATTTCAAATCTTTTAAATCACTGTTTCTCCTTTACTTTGCCTTACTTTGTTTTTTTTTCTCTTCTCAAAAGTTATGCAAACTATGTGGACTTTCATCCCAGTGGAACATGTATTGCTGCAGCTAGTACTGACAACTCTGTCAAGGTGTGGGACATCAGATCACATAAGATGCTACAGCACTACCAAGGTAAAGACACATCGATAATATTTAAAACCGTAATCGTTCTTTCTGGTCTTTTTAAGGAGTGAAACCAGAGTTTACACTCAAGTGTGACATTTTTTAGCTTCATAGCAACACAGTTATTTTCATTAATTAGTCACAACCACATCAATTCTAAAGACATACTTAAATATTTAAAGAATCACTGAATGCTTTATCACTCTCAGTTTAGTCACTCCTGATGCCTTATATAGAGCTTTATTCTGAAACACCAGTTCATCATATGCTGAGTCAGTCCCATAGAAACAACAAAAGCCACAGTTTTTGTTTGTTTTAATGTATGGTACTTTTGGCCAAAGTTTAGACATCTGCTCTCAGAAATTGCAGTACAGCCAAAGTACCTTTGAATCATTATGTTAAAGAGAAATTACTGAAATCGCACACAGGGAAATTTATATTAATGGCAAGGAATGTTATTGATCTTTTGCATATTCATTAAACTTAATGTTGATGACTTTTTATCAGTCTTGCATTCAGGCTGGTTGCTCTAATTGCCTCCCTTAAATGGATTTCATTTGTTAGGTCTAATAATGGATAATTACATATGTCTGAGGAGATTTGGTATGAAGATAGAAGCTTCTCCTCCTCCTCTTTCATTTTTTTTCTGGCCCTACTTTCCATACTGGAGTTATTTTGTCATTTTGCTAACTTAAAGTGTAAAAATGGGAGTGGCTAGTGTTAGACACACATGGGACTGAATAATGTTTTTAGACATCAAATGATTAATGAATAGTTTTTGGTCCTGATTAGAAAACCTTTAATGAAAAATTGTTTAGGGGTTTGTATGAATAAGCCAAAATCAATAGCAGTAACATAGCAAGTGGCAGTGGCACATTGGTATATTTATGTTAACCATCTGTGCACATTATTTGGTAATTTATTGAACTGGTTTGTTTCCATGAGGCAGAGCCATACTATACAAACACCCACTGCTCTGTGCTCTTTCATAGCTATTCAGCATCTTTTCCCAGCTTGTGGTATCAGGATGCCTGCAAGTGTGTTGTAGCCTCTGTAAGCCAGGAGAGGGACCTATTGCTTGCTAATTTGTCAGCTGCTGATTCATGTATGGCGGGATTGTTTAAGTCTAGGGAGGTCACGATTAGTTCTTTGTTCTTAAGGCAACTTGATGTATTAGTGTGTGGTAATAAAAAGCTGGTGTTAAGCCGTTCTCAGTTAAGCAGGATTTGCAGCAGTGTGATGTGCAGCAGCACTACACTTCAATGGCAGCTAATTTAGTCCTTTGAGGTAAAAGTGCCTTTAAGCAAGAATTTCTCATTTTCACAGCTCAAAGCTGTGCTTGTGTTGCTTTAAAACATCTGAATCGGGGAGGGGGGGCGCTCCTGTAGCTCATCTGTTGAGCGCAAGCTGAGTCCCTACTGCAATTGTCATCCTCTCTTTCTCTCTCCCTCTGACTGTTGCTGTATAATAAAGGCAAAAATGCCAAAAATAAATCTAAAAATAAATATATTATTTCATTAACTGAGCATGTGACTTCCTGTAAAGCTATAGCTAGAAAAAACGAATCAATAAACGTATAAAATATGAAGGATTAAGTATGAGCAGGCATGTAATCTCATTGTATTTTGTATCTGGCAGTTGTGATGTATCTTAATCTGTTCAGTCATTTATTTATTTCTTATTTGGACAGCAGCTGGTCACTAAAGGGTGTCACCTGTTCTTCTTTATAATGTATATATAATTGAAATCTCATAAATGCATCAGAGTCCAAGTAAACTAGTAAATATTGCTCATTTATATTATTTGAAGAGAATAAATAAACAATTAAGTTGTCATAATCATAAAAGCAATTTTTAAGCATAAATGCCAAATATTTAATGGCTCTGTATTCAAGGTTGTTGAAGTAATATTGAATAATTTAACGTTTTCATTTGCTGGTGTGTTGACATTTGGTGAGATCACCTTGCCTTCTCAGTGACCAGTCTACTTCCTGGAATAGTCCTGTATAGTGTTAGCTACTCAGCCCCAAAGATTTGATCTGACAAGAACCAGTCATCCATCCACCCGCCACCAACATGCCCATTAGAGCAGAGAAGGCCAGATGAATAGGAACGATGGTGCGCGCTTGGGGTTATATTATTATATTATTATTATTATTTTTTTTGCTGAACATCAGTCAGCACTGACCCTCTTTATCAGTACTGCACTGAAGACCGCCTGCACGCAAGCCTTGTCTTTCTCTTCTTCTTTTTCTTGCTGTCTGTGATTCTGACACATTCATCATGACAGATGTAAAGTAGCAAAAACACCGACCTAACAGTCAAATTTGCTCACTTTTGAAGTAGAATTATAGTAGAATATATATATATTATTATTATTATTAGGGGTGCAACGATACACAAAATTCACGGTTCGGTTCGGTACTTTGGTGTCACGGTTCGATATTTTTTCGATACAAAAAAATGTTCATGCCTTTTTAATTTGTCATTTATTAAAATTATAAATATATATTTTAACTCAAAAGTACAGTTTTTAAATTTAATGTTGCTGAAACAAAAGTAATTAAAAAAATAAATATATCTCAGGGCTCTCAATATTTCAAAATCCCTGGTAGCCCTTCGGGCAGGGACTCTTCAGTTTTTGGTAGCCCAAAATAAATGTAAGTAGCCCGAATAAAAAAAGAGAGCAATTTTTTGATTGATGTTTTGTTTCCTGTTTTGTTTCCTTTACAATATTATACATTAAAGTATAATATTGTAAAGGAAACAAAACATTAATCAAAACATTGTTGAAAAACAAATTACAACATTGTATAAAAATTACAATCATCAACTCAAATACTTGGTTCTAATTGAACAGAAATTCCTATGAACTTGTAAGAACTGTGTAGGACATGAATCAGTCTGTGTCAGATCCTGAATTTGAAATTTCCGCTGAAGTCACGGGTGAGAAGCAAGTGGAACCAAGATCTAGGCCATTTGCTTTTTGAAGTTTGCAAAGACGGCTAAATTTTGCCAGTGGTAGTTCACTCTTTGCAACATAGTACGCTGTTCTAAACAGATTTTTCAAGTTTATTTTTAGTATGTTATTTGCAATTGGTGTTTGTTCTGGGAAAGATATTGCAGACTGAGCAATAATGCGTTTCTTGCATTTCTCATGGGTTCTAATGGGGGCCTTTCTTAAAATGACTGGTCCCAGTAACAAAGGCACTTGTCGACTCAGAAATCGAGAGAAAACCAACAACACACCCGGCAGAACATTATGTTATTTACACGGGTGCACATAAGTGGTCCGCATGTGCGCATTCGCTGTCAAAATAAAAGACGCGCACCAGATAAGAAGTTGCAACACGCGTTTGCGTCCATGTAAAAGTCACTGTTTTTGTCCGCTAGAGTGGGATTTTCACGGCACATTCCGCACCACATCTCTGTGCGTTCATCATTTGTTTGAAGCCAGCTCACCTCCTGCAACCACTTTTCCGAGAATACGCGCTTCTTTTGTGGTTCGGACTCCTTCTGACATTTGTTTGGAGGTAGAGGAACACCAAAGTAATTGCTTAAAGGAGCTTCTTCGACATCTTTAAGAGTTCTAAACAAATGTCTGTCCTCCTCCAGAAAATCTTATGTATGCAAACACGCGTTGCAACTTCATATCTTGTGCGCGTTTTTTTTGTTTTTATTTTGACAGCGAATGCGCACCTGCGGACCACTTATGTGCAGCCCCGGTTATATAGCTCATCATATTGCAGCCACAGAAATTCTTTTGTCCATGAAACCATAAAGCTGCACTTTCTTTTTGCCTTATAGTCTGATTTGTCATAACTTTTCCGTTTTGTGGTAAGCTTTTCTTTGGCTGTCACTTCTTCACCCTGACCCGTCTTATTTGGCTCAGCAGAACTAAAATATACATCCTGCTGCTTTTACACACACACACACATAACGGTCAGCGATTCTCTGCGCGATCAACCTCTCACATGTTTAAGCTTGCTGCGGGAGATTTCACTTGTCATGTTTGCATAGTAAGCTAACGATTGATAAGACGATGTCAGAGGAATTGGTGCGCAAATTATCATCACTCACCAATCAGTACTGTTGCTCTCTATACACAGTTCGCACGATTGCAAAGTGAAAGCAAAAAAACAAGCGCAAATTCAAACGCGATTTCAATATGTCACATATTGACAGTGGCTCACCAATGCCAATGACATAATT